CAAACTCACACCAGCAGAGAGGAACTATGATGTGGGGGATTGGGAGCTTCTTGCCATCAAAGCTGCCCTTGAGTTAATGGAGATATTTGCAGCCCATCCAATACTCATCTACACTGATCATAAAAACCTTGAATACCTAAGGGCTGCCAAACATTTGAAGCCACACCAAGCTAGGTGGACATTATTATTTTCAAGATTTGTATTAGACATTACCCACAGGCCTGCATCAAAGAATGTTAAGCCGGATGTGCTTTCCCGCATGTTCAAGGATCCCAAGGAACCATAAGTGCCAGATACTATTCTGTCTGCTGGTAACTTCCTGTTGCTGCAAGCTCATCTTTCATCTAGAAGCAAACTTCCTTGAATATTCCCGGCCCTCACGGACTCACTTTGGAGGCTAGGGAACGGATGTTGTGGAAGGAGGATAAGGTTTTTGTGCCAGAAGAGATTTGGGTAGCTGTTCTGGGGCTTTGTCACGACCATGCCTTGGCAGGCCACTTTGGAATCCACAAGACCCTTGAACTGGTAAAGTGCAAGTTCTGGTGGCTGAATCTGTAAAAGAACTGTAAAGAGTAGGTCAATGCTTGTGCCACCTGTACCCGAAACAAAGTGCCAAAGCCGAGCCTGGGCTTACCTTTGCCAGTTCCGGACAGACCTTGCAGGATGATCTCCATGGACTTCATAGTGGAGCTTCCGCCATCTGCAGGATGCACTTCCATCTCTGTGGTTGTGGATCAGCTGTCTAAAATGGCTCATTTCCTTCCTCTGAAGAATATCCCTCGGCCATGTAGACTGCATGGGTTTTGTCAAAGAAATTGTTAATATTCACAGGGACCCTGTGAAGTCTGCCTCAGATCGGAGAGTCCAAATGCTTTCAAAATTTTGGAGAGCCCTGTGCGAGGTCTTGAAAATCAAGCTTTTCTTATCTTCTGCCTATCATCCACAGACTAATAGGCAAACTGAGAGGACCAATCAGATTCTCGAACAGTACATTAGGTGCTTTACTTCATTCATCCAGGATGATTGGGTTTCACTGTTACCCTTGGCGGAATTCGCCTATAACAACGCCAGTCAGCCACAGGACAGTCCCCCTTTTTGACAACTATGGTTTTCCATCCATCTTTCTTGCCTGATCTTGTTCCAGAAACTACGGTCCCAGCTGTTCAGAGCACCGTGGATTTCCTCAGCCGCAATAACAAGTTTGCTGCAAAAGCTGTGACTAAGGCACAAGCAGGCAATAAAAAAGATTTTGACAAAAGAAGAAGGGGGGAACTGGTTCTTCAGCCTGGCGATAGGGGATGGCTGTCCATGGCAAATGTTAAGCTAGCCTGTCTATCGAAGAAGCTTGCACCTAAATTCGTGGGTCCATTCTCGGTAAGGAGAAGCTCAATGAAGTGTCTTATGAATTATCTTTACCAGAATCGTTCACAAAATTCACCCAGTATTTCATGTATCGCTGTTAAAGTCTGCAGTCTCAGACCCTTTTCCAAATAGAAGATCTGGCCCACCTGAACATGTAATTGTTAATGGGGATGAGGAATATGAGGTGGAAGCCATTGTGGACTGCAAAAAAAGGAGGAACCAGTTGCAATAGCTTATAAATGGATGCGGGGGTACAGTCTAGAGAACTCCTGGGAACCTGAACAAAATGTCCATGCCAAAGAACTTATTCATGCCTTCTTCCACAGTCATCTTCAGAAAAAAAATCCAATCGGGCATTCGGAGGCTGTCCGAAGAGGGAGGGCAATGTCAGGATCATGCTGGCTCATACACGAATGCGCAGGCGCGGATCTGCAGGTGCTCGTACTGTTGTGAGCAGGAGTGAGTATATGTGCACACATATGCACATATAATCTCTGACCGAGGAGTTCAGTTTACATCCAAATTCTGGAAAGAACTCTGGAAAGCTCTTTAAAACTGAGACATGGTTAAGGAATAGGAGCTTCAACCCTCATAGCATGTTTTCCATAAAGAGTGTATCTCTCACTGTGCGACTCCTTGGTTTACATCCGATGAACTAGTAAATCAAATCATATAGGATCAGCAACAAAGTGAAAAAAAAATTGTAGAAAGTTTTATTCAGCTGCGGAGTTAATATAGCTCCAGAATGCAAGCAACACTTATGCGTTTCAGTCAAACAATGACAACAATGAGTAAGGTCTTGTTTGACTGAAACACGTTAGTGTTGCTTGCATTCTGGAACTATTTTTACTCCGAATCTGAATAAAACTTTCTATAATTCATCTTCACCTTGTTGCTGATCCTATATAATTTTATTGTAGATTGTAGAAGGAAAAGCCTCATTCAGTGTTTAATCAAGTGGAAATGTTATAGTCTTGAGAAAAACTCATGGGAGCCAGAAGGCAATGCTCATGCCCCAAGACTGGTGAGAACGTTTTTTCCAAGCCCGCACTGCAAAGATGTCTCAGATGGGCATCCTGAGGCTGCCCGTTGGGGGGGGGGTGGGGGGGGGGGGGGGGGCAAGGTAAGGGAAACCGAATTCCTAGCAACATAAAACCAGTACAGGCTTATGCTCATATTCGTATGCATTGCTCATGTGCTCATACTCATGAGCAAAGAAGCAAAAGATGTGCTGTTCCAGTTCATCGATATGCAAGCGAGCACGCGCGCATTCCAATTAGCGTGCACACTTTGCACCCAATGACCTGTTTAAACTGGTCTGTCATTATGAACAGTTCTTGAATGGTCTTCAGCTAGTTTCCTGTGACCTGATCCGCTGTGCCTGCTTATCTGTGTATGACCTGGCTTGCCCTTGGACTTCATTCCTGCTCCTGCTTAAAAACTCTGCTCACCTGATTACTCTGACTTCGGCCTGTTTACTGGACTTGCCTTTGCCTGCTGTTTCTGTACCGCTTTGCCCGGCTGTTACTGACCTTGACCTACCTCCTGGACTTGCTCTGCCTACCAATTCAGTCCCTTGCTGCCTTCTTGTCTTATTTTCATCTTCGGTTCTGGTGCCAAGCTGCTCCTGCGTCCCATTCCGAAGACTGTGACTACTAGCTCTAACCACCTACAGAGTGAACATCACCTACCAGCTACTTCGGCACTCCTGCCACTATTTGCCCTCGCACTCTCTTTCTCCACTTTCAGCAGTGTTGGGCAGGAGGTTTAAGAGAGGCCTCCCTAACATTCCAGTCTTCACCACGTACCTGATATGAGAACACCTTCCCAGGGATTGGCTGAGTCGCCATAGATAGTCAGGCTGCCCTTCTGTCTTTCCTCCCACTGTGATTCTAGTATTCTCCTGAATGCAGTCAGAAATAATCATACCAGCAGCCTGTGAAACATTGAGCAGGCTAAAGTAATCCACAGCTGCTCCACTGACTATAAAGGAGCTTAAAGTGGAACTAAACCCTCCTATCCTTTGCACCCAAGGAGGCTGCCATCTAAGCTTCTGTTTGATCTGCAACTGCCATGGTGCTGCACGTGATCAGTTATGACACCAGCCATTTGATGGTTTGACAGGTTGAAAGCACAAGCAAATGTGACAGTTAACATTCCCGGCAATGTTAACCACTTCCCCCGACCGTCCGTTGTATATAAACGGCCGGACGGTGGCACTGCAGGGTCGGGTGGCCATCTATAAACGGCCTCCCCGCACCCTGCTTGTGCGCGCTCCCTGGGAGCGTGCAGCACCGCGATCCGGTGCCCGCTGTGTCCTCCGGACACAGTGAAACACCGATCGTCAGACGGGACCTCTGTACGAGGTCCCGATCATGTGATCACTGATTGGCCAATCAGTGATCACATGCAAAGTAGTAAGCAAGATGTCACTTCTGACATCATTGCTTACTACGTGTGAAATCTGTGAATGATCACAGAGGTCACATGGTACAAGGCTATTCACAAAAGCCTTGTACCATGTGACAAGCTGTGACCAATCACAGCTCACTCAGTTCTTCTCAATGAGTGCAAGAATGCACACAGAGAGAAAGAGAAATGATTGCTTTTATATCCTATATGGGTGTAAAAGCAATCAGTGTAAAAAAAAAAAAAAAAAAAAATCTTCATCACCCCTCACAAGTAGTACAGTGTCACCATGGTGACACTGTACTGCTAGGGTGACAGTATGTAAAAAAAATAAAAATAAAATAAAAAATAATAATATAAAAAAATAAAATAAAAATGTAAAAAAAAATGTTTAAAAATTATAATTTTTGCTTATAAACTAATTTGGATTTTTTTTTTTACTAAAAAGATAACGGAATAAATTTTGGCTAAGATTTATGATGAAATATTATTTATTTGCAAAATTTTATAAAAAAAAACACTTTTTTTTTTCAAATTTTTTGGCCATTTCATTTACATAGCAAAAAAAATACAAATCCCAGTGGTGAATAAATACCACCAAAATAAAGCTTTATCTATCTCAAAAAAATGGTAAAAAAATTCATTTTGGTACAGTGTTGCATGACCGCGCAATTGTCATTTAAAGTGTGATAGCGCTAAAAGCTGAAAATTGCCCTGGTAAGGAAGGGGGTAAAAGTGTCCGGTCTGGAAGTGGTTAAATCAATGGGGTTAGTTCTGCTTTAACTACTTGCATTCCTGAGGATTTATCCCTCTTCCTGACCAGGCCATTTTTTGCATTACAGCGCTGCAATTATTTTAACTGACAATTGCGCTGTCATGCAACGCTGCACCAAAATGAAATTTATGTCCTTTTTTTCCCAAGAATAGAGCTTTCTTTCGGTGGTATTTGATCACCTGTGCGGTTTTTATTTCTTGTGCTATAAAAAAAAAATACTGACAATTTTGAGAAAAAAAAACATATTAAACATGTCCAGTAAAAAAATTTACAAAATCAAATTTCGTCATAATTTTAGGCCAAAATGTATTCTACGACATGTCTTTGCTAGAAAAAAAAAATCCCAATACGTGTAAATTGGTTTACATTAAAGTTTAAAACATTTACAAATGGCGGTATATATACTGTGATTTTTTTTTTTTAATTTTTACTACTAATGGCTGCGATTAGCAACTTATAGCGGGATTGCGGTAGGCATTCTGACACGGGGGGGGGAACTAACGTGGTGTCACTGACATCCCCAATGACACCAATAGTGATCAGTGCTAATAAAAAGCACCAACACTATACTAATGACACTGGGCAGGAAGGGGTTAACATGTGGGGCAATCAAAGGGTTAACTGTGTGCTGTTTTACTAGGGGCTGTGTGTTTGTGCTTCGCTGTAAGCACACTGCTTTGCATGGCTGTGCTATGTACAGCCTTGCAAAGCAGTCTGCACGAGCTGACAAGGAGCAGAACTGTTTTGTTTACAATGCTTGGCATTCACCCGCCGCTGGTGAGTACTGACTGTCTGGAACCCGGTGATTGACAGTCGCGGCCGCGAATACCGGGAGAAGCAAAATCACGTTTATATAGCATTTTCCAGTATATCTGCTATAGGGGGGTGGGAATGCAGTTAAAATGGTTCTAAAGGCTAAAGGTTTTTTACCTTCATGCATTCTATACCTGAAAGTAAAAAACCTTCTGTGTATAGCAGCCCCCACCTCTTGATCCTTACCTGAGCCCTCTCTGATCCAGCGATCCTCTCCCTCATCATTGGCTGAGACAGCAGTAGGAGCCTATTGGCTGTCAATCACAGCCAGTGAGCCAATGAGGAGAGAGCAGCAGCTTGGGGACGAACACACAGAGGTGCCTTCAGGGTGAGTGGCTTCCCTGGGGGCACTGCTCAAGGAGGAGGAGCCAGGAGTGCCGGAGGGGATCTGAAGAGGATTGGGGCTGGTCTGTGCAAAATGGTGCTATATTAAAATTTGGGCTAATGAAAATATACCTATATCATACCTGTGGAAACTGGAAATTACTGTAGCAGTCTCCGCTACTACAGTGATCACTGCTGTCTTCTGGGTCCCATATTGAGTGGCGGCCCTGGCATAGGGGGGTTGCTTGCTTGTCAGGGGTGCCATTCACAAGGAATTCTCTGACTGGTTAGGGTGGAGAGATAAAGCGATGATTTCACAATCTCACCTCATTCAATTAGAGAATGCCTTGCATTTATTGTTCTGTAACACCCCTGTGGTTGGTTTCAATGTAGCGAGGCAGATGGTCAGTGTTGGATCCAGAAGACAAGCGATCACTGTAGTAGCTGCAGTGCTACAGTGATCCTCCTCTTCCACAGGGAACCCACAAGTATGGAAAATGCATTCTTACATTAGGCAAAAGCTACACCACTGGAACTATGCAAAATTATATATTATATATATACTCAGAAGTCAAATGTAAATAAGTATGAAAAACGTTCTACACCTACACAATATTTTGAAATATAAATTGAATGTTTGGATGAGAAAATAAGAAGAAATAAAACAGAGACAGTTTAGCGAACTAATCCTTCCTTCTGCCGATATATGACAACATAGCCTAGATCACGTGTTAGCAACACCTTCCGGACAGCTTGTAAACACACCAGTTTGGCGCGCGCTTTTCAACGTCATCCTCGTTTGGCGCGTGTAGCAAGGTTTTCTCACTAGTGATTGGAAGGAGTTTTCCCGGCGCTGGAATGTGTATTTGAGGTTTATATGATGGCAGCTGAGGAAGAGACAGTAGTGTTAGATTCCGCTGTAAAGCATGCAGACACTTCTGAAGCTGACCTAAGTGACAAACATGCGGGTGAGAAGTCCGACTGTGCCGCAGTCCCGGTACCGAAGCTGGTGAAGTTGCCGTTGTCGCGGGTGAAAGCGTTAATGAAGTCTGACCCGGAGTTATCACTGGCTAGTCAGGAGTCGGTTTTCCTCATCAGTAAAGCTACGGTAAGCCTGGATCCGGTGTGAATTGTGAGAGCTGCCGGTGTAGCGGCAAGATCTGTCTCCCTTGAAGCAACTGCGCATGTCACGGTTTTAGGCATAAACCGATCAACAACCGTAGCACAGAGCTGTCCCACAGTTAACCCTTTTTCTACTGCACCGCTGACTACACTTACACACACCGCGGATCACTAGCCACCGATGCTCCAGCAAGATGGATCAAAGATGCGTATTGGGGAGCATCGTTGGATCGGAGAGAGGACAGTTACATGGGGGGTTGTGACATGGGGAGACAGTGACATTTGGGGTGCAGTGATATTGGAGGGGGACCATTACATGAGGAGGACAGTGGACATTTGGGGTGCAGTGACATTGGAGGGGACCATGACATGGGAGAGACGGTGACATGGGGGGGGGAGACATTTGGGAGGACAGTGACATGAGGGGGGGGGTGGGGGGTGGGGGGGACTGACATGGGAGGACAGTGACGTGGAGAGGACAGTGACATGAGGGGGGGAATGACATGGGGAGGACAGTGACATGTGCTGGGGTCAGTGACAGCTGCCTGGGGTCAGTGACATGAGGGTGGAAGGACCTTGACATGGGAGGACAATGACGTGGAGAAGGACAGTGACATGGGTTGGGAGGACAGTGACATGAGAGGGGGGGGACGGTGACATGGAGGGGCCGTGGCATTTGGGGATGACAGTGACAGTGACAAGTGACAGGAGGGGGGAGGACAGTGACTGTTGGGGAGGACAGTGACATGGGTGGGGACGAGTGACATGTGCTGGAGGTCAGGACATGTGCTGGGGCGTCAGTGACATGTGCTGGGGTCAGTGACATGTGCTGGGGGTCAGTGACCAGTGGGGGGACAGTGACGTGCTGGGGTCAGTGACAATGGGGAGGACAGTTGTGACATGTGCTGGGGTCAGTGGACATGAGGGGGGGGAAGTGGCATGGAGGGCCATGACATGAGGGGGGGGGGGAGGACACTGACGTGGAGGACACTGACGACTGGGGGGTTTCAGTGGACATGGGAATGGGGGGGGGCATGACATGTGACAGTGACATGACAGGTGACATGGGGGGGGGGTGGCTGCACCATGAAAGGACCAGTGACATGAGGGCGGGGAATGACATGGGGGGAAGGGGGAAAACAGTGACGGGGGGGGGCTCTCTTGGACTCTCGGTTGGGTCAGTGAACATGGGGGGGGCAAGTGAACATTGGTGAGGACAGTGAACGTAAGGAGAGGGACGTCAGAAAACAACTAGATATATAGAATATAATAAAATAAAATAAATACTGTGAACCCCCATGAAGGGAGGAAGTGACCAATGACGGAATACCCCCGCCCCCGCAGGCACAGCGCGAGGTCCATACTGACATGCAGGAACAGTAGACGTGGGGGGGAGAGGGGTGGGGGGTCAGTGACATGGGGAGGACAGTGTGACCTGGGGGGGGGGTGGCCATGGACGAGGCACACAATGACCCTATTGTGGGTGCGAGTGACACACTAATGTGGGCACTGACTATGGGGAGAGACCAGTTAATGAACATTGGGAGGGGGACCATGGACAAGGAGGGCGAGATGACAAGTGACCGGGGGGGTCATTGACCTGGGGGGAGGGGTCTAACATGGGGCGAGGACCAGTGGACCTTGGGGAGAGACAGATGAGGACACTTTGGGAGGAGGACATTGACATGGCGTGTTTCAGTGACATGAGGTGGTGGGTGGAGGAGGGGAGGGGGCACTGACCAATGGAGAGAACCAGTGTGCATTGGGGGGGGGGGGCACTGACATAGGTGAGTGTCAGCGACTTGAGGGGGCGGCAGTTGATATGGGAGGGCCTTTGACATGGGGAGGGACGAGTGACAATGGGGGGGTGGCATGACTTTGGTTAGGACAGAAGTGATGTGGTGGGAGGGGGTTCATCACTTGACCCCCTCATTGTCACTGTCCTCCCCATGTCAGGCCCACTCCATATGTCATCTGTCCCTCCTACCTATCAGTGCCCCCCCTCATGTCACTGTCCTCTCCATGTCAGCCCCCCATGTCAATGCCCCCACTTGTCACTTGTCCTCCCCTCCCTCTGTCACACTGTCCTCCCCACATGTTACTGTCCTCCTCCCCATGTTATACTGTCCCCCCCCATGCCCCCTCAACTGTCACTGTCCCCCCATGTCACTGCCACTCCCCTCCCCCCATGTCGACTGTCCTCCCCATCACTTGACTGTCCACCCCCATGTCACATGACCCTCCCAAGGTCAATGCCTCTCCCTGGTCACCCTCCATGTCATGGTCCCCCTCCAATGTCACTGTCCTCACATGCCATTGACCCCCGTGTCATTGTCTTCAAAAGTGTCACTGTCCCTCCCCATGCACCACTGCTCCCCCAAATGTCACTGTCCCCCTATATGTCAGCCCCACGCCCAGGTCAATGCCCCCACCCGTCACTATCCCCCACATGTCACTGTCCCCCATGTCACTGCCCCCCCACACATGTCACTGCTTCCTCATGTCACTGTCCCCCCCATGTCCGACACTCACCCCCCCCATGTCACTGACATTTCCCCACACTGTCACTTCCCCTCCCATGTCACTCCGCTGTCCTCCCCAGTGTCACTGACCTGCCCCCCCCTTGTCACTTGACCTATCCCCCCATGTCACTGACTGTCCTCCCCCTCCATGTCACACTGTCCTTCCCCATGTCACTGACAGATTGCCCCCCTCCATGTTCACTCCCCATGTCACTGCCCCCCCCCCCATGTCACTGACTGTCCCCCCCCCCCATGTCACTGTCCCTCCCCATGTCACTGACCCTCCCCCCTTGTCACTGTCTCCTCCCCATGTCACTGCCCTACCTCCCCCTATGTCACTGTCCTCCCCACTGTCACTGTCACCCCCCCCCCATGTCAATTGTCCAATCCCATGTCACACTGCAACCACTAGCCCCCTTCTTGGTCACTGTCCTCCCCATGTCACTGACCCTCCCCATCTTGTCACTGTCCTCCCCATGTCACTGACCCCCCCCTTGTCACTATCACTGGGGCCCCATTGTCACTGACCCCCCCTTTGTCGACTGTCCTCCCCATGTCAATGACCCCCCCCCCATGGCACGGTCCTCCCCATGGTCACTGACCCTCCCCCAAATATCACGGTCCTCGACCCAGTGGTACTTGACAATGACCCCCCCCTGACATGTCACTGTCCTAGTCACCCATGGGGGTGGAGTCACTAGACCCTCGTTAGTCACTCAGTGGACCACTGTGCCCTCCCATGTCAGGGACAACTCTTGTCACTGTCCTCCCATGTCACTAGACCTCCCCATGTCCTTTGTCCACTGTCCTCCCCATGTCACACTGACCCCGAGCCATTTGGTCACTGTCCTCCCCATGTCACTGCCCCCCCTCATGTGTCACTGTGATCCTCCCCCATGTCAGACCCTCCCAGGTCAATGCCCCCCCCTGGGGGTCCACTGTCCTCCCATGTCACTGGTCCCCCCTCCAATGTCACTGTCCTCACCATGCACATTGACTCCCCGTGTCATTGTCCTTGCAAAAGTGTCACTGTCCTCCCCCATGTCACTGACACTCCCCCCACAACTTGTCACAGTGTCCTCCCTATGTCAGCCCCCCGCCCAGGTCCAATGCCCCCCACAGTCACTGAGATCCTCCCCATGGTCACTGTCCTCATGTCACTGACCCCCCCACTTGTCACTGTCATCATGTCACTGACCCTCCCCATGTCGCGGCCACCCCCATGTCACTGACCCCCCCACATGTCACTTCGACAGCCTCCCCATGTCACTGTCCCCCCATGTCACTGCCCTAGCCCCCTCTTGTCACTGTCCAATCGTCTCCCCATGTCACTGACCACTCCCCCCTTGTCACTGTCCTCCCCATTGTCACTGACCTCCCCCTCTTGTCACTGTCCTCCCCATGTCACTGACCCTCCCCCTCTTGTCACTGACACAGCCTCCCCATGTCACTGACCCTCCCCCTCTTGTCACTGTCCTCCCCATGTCACTGACCCTCCCCCTCTTGTCACTGTCCTCCCCATGTCACTGACCCCAGCACGTCACCGTCCTCCCCATGTCACTGACCCCAGCACGTCACCGGCCCCCCTCTTGTCACTGTCCTCCCTACATGTCACTGTCCTCCCATGTCAGTCCCCTCGACCCTCATGTCACTTACACCTTCCATGTCAATTGTCACTGCCCCCCCATGTCACTGCCCCCCCCCATTTTATGTGGCCGCCCCTGTCACTGAACCCCCCCCCCCCCCCCCCCACATGTTCAGTGTCTTCCCCATGTCCACTGACCCCTACAACAGTGGTCATGTCACTGTCCTCCCCATGTCACTGACCCAGCCCCCACATGTCACACTGTCCTTCCCATGTCACTGACCCCAGCATCATGTCACATGTCCTGTCCCCCCCCATGTCACTGTCCCCCACATGTCCATACCACTGTCCCCCCACATGTCACTGTCCCCCCACATGTCACTGTCCCCCCACATGTCCCCCCACTGTCACCCCCACATGTCACTGTCCCCCCACATGTCACTGTCCCCCCACATGTCACTGTCCCCCCACATGTCACTGTCCCCCCACATGTCACTGTCCCCCCCCATGTCACTGAACCCCCCCCCCACGTCACTGAACACGTCAGTGTCCCCCCACACGTCAGTGTCCCCCCCACAACGTCAGTGTCCTCCCACATGTCACTGACTCCCCACACGTCACAGCCCCCCCTTGTCACTGACCCCACCACATGTTGTCACTGTCCTCCCCATGTCAGGCCCCCCCACATGTTATGGCCCACACATGTCAGTGTCTTCCCCATGTCACGACCCCCCCATATCACTGAACCCCACACGTAACTGTCCCTCCCATGTCACTTTTCCCCCTCATGTCACTGTCCTCCCCATGTCACTAACCCCCCCCCCCCCCCCAAATGTCACTGTTTTCCCCATGTCACTGACCCCAGCACATGTCACTGTC